GCCTCAATTGTTGAATGTGCTGAAAACTGCTGAGAAAGAAATCAAAAAGGGAAAAGGCTCTACTGGTGTGCTTGTCGTTACTTCCTCTAAGAAGAGGAAGAGGCAAGAAAAGGGATTTAAGAAATCCAAAAACAAGCCCACCCAAAAGCCCAAAAAGGCAAAGGCGGACCAGTCCAAAGCAACCTGCTTCCATTGTAATCAAACTGGACATTGGAAAAGGAACTGCAAGTCATACTTGGAGAGCCTGAAGCAAAAGAAGCTTGCTGAAGCTTCATCATCAGGTACATATATGATTGAGATTAATGTGTCTACTTCCAAATCAGACTCTTGGGTATTAGATACCGGATGTGGTTCTCACATTTGCACATCTATGCAGGGTCTAAGGACAGTAGAAAGCTGGGAAAAGGAGAAGTCACCCTACGTGTGGGCAATGGAGCAAAAGTTGTTGCTTTAGCTGTAGGGACTTATTATATCACTTTACCCAGTGGATTGATTTTAGAATTATTAAATTGTTATTGTGTTCCAGCACTTACTACAAACATCATTTCTATTTCCTGTTTGGATTTAAATGGGTTTCGGATAACCCAGGAGAATAAATGTTGTTCTTTTTCTAAAAATGGTGTGTTTTATGGTTCTGGAAGTTGGAATAACGGTTTATATATTCTAGATCTTGATCATCAAATTCTCAATGTGAGTGAAAAAGAATGAGAACAGATAAACTAAATAAAACCTACCTCTGGCACTGTAGGCTTGGTCATGTAAATGAAAAACGCATCTCCAAGTTATACCAACATGGATACTTGGATTCATTTGATTATGAATCATATGATACATGCGAAGCTTGTTTACTTGGCAAAATGACCAAAATGCCCTTTACTGGAAAAGGGGAACGAGCCAGTGATTTACTTGGGCTAGTACATACTGATGTATGCGGCCCAATGTCGATCACTGCTAGAGGTGGTTTTTCATACTTCATCACCTTCACAGATGACCATTCGAGATATGGTTACGTGTATTTAATGAAATACAAATCTGAATCCTTTGAAAAGTTTAAGGAATTCAAGAATGAAGTAGAAAAACAAACCAATAAAAGTATTAAGATACTACGATCTGATCGTGGTGGAGAATACTTAAATGACGAGTTTGGAGTTTATTTAAAGGATAATGGAATAGTTCCACAATGGACTCCTCCAGGTACACCACAGTTAAATGGTGTATCTGAAAGGAGAAACCGAACCTTATTGGATATGGTTCGTTCTATGATGAGCCACTCAAGTGCCCCAAAATCGTTTTGGGGATTTGCATTAGATGCAGCCTCTTATACTCTTAATAGAGTACCCACTAAAGTTGTCGACTCCACACCATATGAGATATGGAAAGGAAAGAAACCAAATCTGTCTTATATGAAGGTTTGGGGCTGCCCAGCTTATGTGAAGAGGGCAGAGTCAGACAAGCTTGAACCTAGATCTGACAAATGTTTGTTTGTAGGGTATCCAAGAGAGTCTATAGGATACTATTTCTACAATCCAATTGAGCAAAAAGTGTTTGTCTCAAAACATGCTATTTTTCTAGAGAAAGAATACATTCTAGAAAGAAGCAGTGGGAGTAGAATAGATCTTGAAGAAATTCAGGATCATCCAACAAACATTGAACGATCTAATGAAGAACAGCTTCAACCACATAATGATGGGGTAGATACTGAAGCTGTTAATACACAAGGGCTTCGTAGGTCAGTAAGAACACGCTCAACTCCCAAGAGATACCAATTTCTTGTGAGCCATAGCAATGATGTTCTAGTCATTCAAGATGACGAACCTACTACCTACCAAGAGGCAATAAGTAATCCAGACTCCTCTAAATGGTTAGAAGCCATGAATTCCGAAATAAATTCCATGTATGACAATAAGGTGTGGACCTTAGTTGATCCACCTGAAGGGATAAAACCTGTAGGGTGTAAATGGATCTTCAAGAAGAAGACTGACATGGATGGTAATGTGGTTACCTATAAAGCTAGACTGGTAGCCAAAGGCTACAAGCAGAAAGAGGGAATCGATTACGATGAAACTTTCTCACCAGTAGCTATGCTTAAATCCATTCGGATATTGCTTGCCATAGCAGCATATCATGACTATGAGATTTGGCAGATGGATGTAAAGACCGCGTTCCTTAACGGGACATTGCATGAGGATGTGTATATGACACAACCTGAAGGCTTTACATCTACAAATCCTAGTCAAATATGTAAGCTACAAAAGTCTATTTATGGACTTAAGCAAGCATCTAGGAGTTGGAACATCCGATTCGATGAGACGATCAAAGAGTTTGGATTTCTCAAGAATCCGGATGAACCTTGTGTGTATAAGAAAGTTAGTGGGAGTTCGATTGTTTTCCTTATTTTATATGTAGATGACATATTAATAATGGGAAACAATATACCGATGTTACAATCGGTAAAGGGTTGGTTGTCGAAGAACTTTTCCATGAAAGATTTAGGAGAAGCGGCCTATATATTAGGCATTAAGATCTATAGGGATAGATCTAAAAGGCTACTGGGTCTTTCACAATCTACATACATAGAGAAAGTGCTAAAAAGGTTTAGCATGGATCAGTCTAAGAGGGGTAATTTACCTATGACTCATGGTATAAGCCTTTCTAAAAACATGTGTCCAAAGACACAAGTTGAGACTGATAAGATGCACAATGTTCCATATGCTTCAGCAATTGGATCAATTATGTATGCTATGTTATGTACAAGACCTGATGTCTCCTATGCTCTGAGTGTCACAAGCAGATTTCAAGCTAATCCAGGTGAGGGTCATTGGATAGCCGTTAAGAACATTCTTAAGTACTTAAGAAGGACCAAAGATTTGTTCTTAATATATGGAAAGGGTGAGTTAGAGCTCAAAGGCTATACTGATGCGAGTTTTCAATCAGATAAGGATGATTGTAAATCACAGTCAGGCTTCATTTTTACTCTTAATGGAGGTGCTGTCTGTTGGAAGAGTTCCAAACAAGACACCACAGCAGATTCTACAACAGAGGCTGAGTACATTGCGGCCGCGGAAGCAGCTAAGGAAGCAGTTTGGATCAAGAAGTTCGTAACTGAACTTGGTGTGGTTCCAACCATTGTTGATCCGGTCACTTTGTACTGTGATAACAATGGAGCTATAGCTCAAGCCAAGGAACCTAGGTCTCATCAGCGATCCAAACATGTGCTTAGGAGATTTCACTTGATTAGAGAAATCGTTGCTAGGAATGATGTAAAGATAGAGAGAGTCTCCACAGAGGATAACATAGCTGATCCTCTTACTAAAGTTCTTCCTCAAAAGAAGCATGATAGTCATGTATTATCTTATGGGATGAAAAACATGGATAATGTGTTTTAGTGCAAGTGGGAGATTGTTGGAATGTATGCCCTAAAACAATGTATTTGTTTTTATTTTATACATTCCTTATTATATGTTTTGTATTTTAATAACTTCTTATTTATCTGTTAAATATTAGATAACGATAAAGTCCTTATAATATTACTAATGTGATGATAGTCACAAGAGTTGGTGACTATGAGATATCAATCACATTTATAGTAATATTATTAAAATTCCCTAGTTTTTGTACTAATGAAATAGGACATCTTTAGTACGGTAAAACTAGTACACAGTTAGCCTCTAATTAATGTAATTAGTGGTTGTTCTCATCAACTATGGTATGAAGATACTTAGGCTAATGTGTAGATGATTTGAAAAGTACAAATGCATTGGATGATCCGTTTAGAGATCCCGTTAGGATATCTATCTAGTGCCAATGGTGTATCTCTAGTGAAAAATTGTGTAAGTGATCCTACGACTTGAGATCACCATAGTATCTTGAGTGTGAATCGCTACATTTTGACTCTATTACTTGTTACTCTTCGAGAGTACCTTAAAGTGTAGAAGTTGGATGTAGTGTGAAGCACGTAAAGAAAATGGGTGATCAAGATAGGATTTACCACTCTGATAGAAGGAGTTGATATCCGGATGGCCACTAGTGAGAAATTAACCCTAAAGTCGACTATTAGGTAAATTGAAGAATGTCTTCAATTTAACCTAATTAAGGGTAAATTTCGGGAACTAGAAAATTTAATTAGTCATCAGGGAATTGGCACTTATTCCTTATTCCTGACTAATTGGATATCTTTGGTGAAAGGATAATAATTACACGGTAATTTTTCACGGAAAGGTTAGGTCAAATTCCCTTGACTAATTCCGAATAATTGGGCAATCGCGATGTGTTGCTAGACACCGCTCGTGATTTATAATTATGGATTAATTATTTATTATAAGTTATGATAAAATAAAGTCGTTTATTTTATCTAATTATTAAACCATAATTATTACCAATGCATTCGGGACCTATTGGGTCACACGCAATAGAGATTTAATCCTGGATTGAAACTATGTAAATTATCGGGGTTTAATTTTAAAGAAAATTAATCCCAGGCCTTATTTGAGCAGATAAGAGTAAATGGTTATCTCTTATCTATCAGATAATGATAGATAGAGTCTTAATGTGATTAGAAGTCTAATGGTTTTGATTTTGAATCATACAAGAAGACTTATCATTGATATCATAAGAGATCTCTCTCATGATAGCTCTCTCGCAGTCTTCCAAGATAGACCAAAAAAAAAAAAAGAAAAGAGGTTTGGTGATTGTCACACACAAAAAGGAGAGAAACATATACGATTGAAAAGTGGAGAAAGGCTAGCACCTTTTTCTCTTCAATACATAGTTCGTGAGACGATCCAGGGTTGCTCTAGCGTGGATATCAGTAGAGGCAGGACGATTGGACTGCTCAAGGGCTGACCATCCTCAAACAACGCTGCAGGGAGACGCCGCTTGGATTAAGGTAATCCTAAAACCCTTCTTATTGTACATCATACGTAAAATCTAGGGCGATTCCTGGATGGTTTTAGGGAAAAATTTTTTTTTTCCGCTGCGTATATCCTAAAACCCAACAGTTGATGGCTTGCATTGATTCCATCTTAGATAAACTGCGGCTGTTGGTTCCCCAGGGTGATCTCTGCAAGTATGATCGTGCTTTGAATGTGCTGAAGGTGGAGCTTGGGCTAGTGAAAACATTCCTTCTGTGTCAGTGGAAATTGAGATATCAATTTGTTGGCCTGGAAGATTCCGTTCGCGAAAATGGGCAGCAGTTTTACTCTCTTCTTCTTGGATTCGAGGATGATGGATTGTCCCCCAGCGACTTGGCTGGATCAGCTTCAACTTTTGGAGGTATTCTAAAGAGTTTTAAGCAAGGAATCAGGAAATCGTATGTCGATATTTCCAATTCCTTAGCGAAATCCGTCTCTGAGTCTAGAATCCGATTGAATACAAGAGATTTTGAGAAAGGGGGCCCTGTTTTTTGGGACGGTGAATCATACGGGAAAAGGTATCCCAGTATGTTGGATCGCTTATTGGCATCCAGTTCTTCTTTGACAGATGAGTTCATGGAATTCTTCCACTCCTTGCTAGAGAATTTTGTGGATATTCTCAACTGGGGTGAAGCCTACGATTCGGAACTTGAAAAACTGTTGGAGCCCTTGCAAGAGAAGCTAGTATTCCTCAAAAATTTCATTCTCTTTGCCAGGTCGCAAGGCAAGCCCGAGCGGAAACTTATGGAGCACAGTGGAGTTGTGGCTCTGTCTGCAGCCCATCTTTGTCACAGTTGCTGGTTTTTCAGAGATGATAATGAAGTTTTTGTTGAAATCAGCTTCAAGATTGATGAAGTAAAAGATCAGATCAAGCCTGTTGTTGAGCAAGTCCGTCTGGCTTATATCAGCATCTTGGAATCTAAGTCTTCATCACTTAGGATGTCCACCGAGGCGAATATGTGTATAGTGGGGAATTTTGTAGGTTCTCTCCTAGGTAATCTTTGGGAGTTTCTCGTAAAGTGTCCTGCCTGGTTTACTTCATCTCTAAAGCATCAAATTCGGATACTCTGCGAGGGACTGCAGTTCTTGAGAGGCATTTTGATGAAGCAGCAAGAGGATTATGATGGGCTTCCTGGAGGAATCAAGGATCGCATTGTGGCTGTGGTCAATGATGCTGCGATTGTAATTTTCTCACTATATCAGGACAATATCCCAGAAGCTTCAGCCATGGAAATAGATCTTAAGCTCTTTTGTTTACTGGAGAAGATCAAGCTTGTTAATGCCGAAATTGAGAAAAAGTATCCTGTAGCATCAAGGTCCAAATTTCCTACAACAAATGCATTAGAGTTGATCGATCTTCTTCTAGAAAAGTTGAAGGAACTGGAAAGCTGTGAAGTCGATCCATTATTTTCTTTTGCAAATGATCGAGTTGACTTCTTAAATTCATACTTGAACAAGATCCAATACATTAAAGTTGACCGACCTTTGGAAACATTTACATATTATGACATGCCATCCTGGATCATTGATCTGGAGCAGCAGATCAAGCTTGAAAAGCTCCGACATAAAAAGATGCAAGCTGATGTCCCATTCTTAACGTCATTCTTGGAGAATAATTTGGAGCAGCACATCAAGAATGAAAAGCACCAACTTCAGACGATGGAAGATGATCTTGTATCTTTAAGATCATTATTGGAAGAAAATGGGGAGCAACACAACCATCACGAAGATCCCCATGCCCTTTGGAGTCATGTTATAGAGGTTGCATACAAGGCAGAGTTTGTCATTGGATCCTTATTAGCTGGAGATATCTCATTCTACTCTCTGATGTTATTTGATGATATTGCACGAGAAATTATGCTCGTCAAAAGTCTAGCCCAGACAGCTACCAAGATTCCAAGGCATGTGCCATCACAAGGTAACATCTCAACAATAATCGAATGGATCACAATTGAGAGTGTTTGGACTTTAGACGGTATATTGATTCCAAATTCCAAATAATATTTCATTTGCATCATAAATACATTTCTCAACACACTTATGTTCTCAACTATCTTTTTAGGGTTAATTACTGTTTACCCCCTTAAACTTGACCCTTTATAACACTTTGCCTCCCTGAACTTTAAATATATACACTTTGCTCCCTTCATTAACTATTAATGATGAATTTTTCATCTAAAATTTTAATAAAATAACATTAATGCCCTTACATAATAGTTCTAGAATAATCCTATACTTTTAAAAAGTGCTACAATAAAAAATATAAGCAAATGATTTTCATTCCAAATGCACTAATTAATTTCATATCATTTAAAATAAGTATTGCTATCGGCATTGGGATAACTACATTGAGTTATTTAGACTTCTTTTTTATGATTTATTTAATTCATTTTAGTGCTAAAAGATCGAAATGTATAGTGTAATTTATTTAAATGCATTTAGTAATTATTAAAGAAATAGGTATTTATTATGTTACAATTGTTATGTGTGTTTAAGAATTAACCAGGGATATTTTGGTTATGAAAAATATAACTTCATTTTAATCCTGTCAAAAAGTTGACCATAAAGGGTAAAGTATATATATTTAAAGTTTTGGGAGCAAAGTGTTACAAGAGTCCAAGTTTAGAGGGACAAAGTGTAATTAATCTATTTTTTTATCTTTCGTATTACAAATAGTGTTACAATAATTATTAGTGATATTTATTACAATAATTATTAGTGTTGCAAAAAGTGTTACAATACACTCCATTTTGTATTAGTGATATTTCATTCTCTTTTTAATTTTTAGAAACAGTGAGAAGCGAGACGAGTGGAGCATCCTACCCGGTGTCATCATCGGGTAGTATCTCAACGGTCGATGAAGTTGAGGTGGTCTTGCAGGTTGAGGAGAAAGCAGTAATTGATAAACTTATAAAAGGTCTAAAACAGCTGGATATCATCTCCATTGTGGGCGTGGCTGGACTAGGCAAGACGTTTTTGGCACAAAGAGTTTACCGTGATCTTAGAGTTACATCTCACTTCCACATTCAGGCATGGTGTTGTATCTCCCAAACATATTGCAAGAGCGATTTGTTGCTTCAGATTTTGGCTTGCATTGGTCAGAAAACTCAATTTTCTAAGATGGATGAATGTGATTTGGCTCAGGAACTCCATCAATGCTTGTTGGGACAGAGGTTTCTCATAGTTTTGGATGATGTTTGGGACATCGAAGCGTGGAATGCTTTAAAATCTTCATTCCCAGAGAAAAACAATGGAAGCCGAATACTCTTAACAAGTCGACTTACTGATATTATTGGCACACCTTATCATCTTAGGACACTTGATGAATCTGAAAGCTGTGATTTACTACAGAAGAAGCTGGCAGTTATTAGAGAAGGAGGCTATTCTCAAGAACAAAATCTTCTTGGGAGGAAAATAGCAAAAACTTGTAATGGGATGCCTCTATCAATTGCCATCATATCTGGTATCCTTGCAACTCTCCATCAAGCTGGTTGGGAAGAAGTCGCAGAAAAGATAAGTTTAACTGCCATGGTTGGTGCCACAGAACAATGCAACAGGATACTAGAGCTGAGTTACGGGCATCTGCCTGATTATTTGAAGCGTTGCATTCTTTACTTTGGAGCCTTTCGAGAAGATCAAGAAATTTGTGTCCGGAGGCTGACATGGTTATGGATCGCTGAAGGTTTTATGCAGAAGAGTGAATCGGAGTGCCTAGAGAAAATAGCAGAAGGCTATGTAATGGCTCTAATCAATAGAAGCTTAGTTATGGTGGGGCAACGAAGATACGCAGGTGAGGTCAAGACCTGCCGCATTCATGATTTGTTGCATGTGTTTTGTGTGAGAAAAACCAAAACTCAAAATTTTCTAGAATTGGTACGAGGGTATGATGAGGGTCTTACATTTGATGAGCCGTACAACCCACGTCGATTATCTATTCAAGCTCAACCAAAGCATTTCATCAAATCTAGGATAATTTGTCCCCAGATACGCTCTCTATTATATTCATCTCGAGATTTTGGGGTCCGCCAACTCGGGTGCAATTTTCCTTTCATTTTTCTCCTGAAACTTCTTAGAGTGCTGGACTTGGAAAATATTTGTCTAGGTTCTGCTCTCCCAAGGGAATTATGGTCGCTTGTTCAGCTGAGGTACTTGGCAGTTCTAGGTTGGCTCAAGAATGGCATTCCATCCTCGCTAGAAAAGCTCTCAAATTTGGAAACTTTTCTTGTGAGAACAAAGGATGATGTTGGTCTTTCTTTGTTGCAAGATACTCTTCTAAAGATGCAGAAATTGAGGCATCTGCATGTGTATGGTGCTTTGATTGATATTGGATTGGCCAATGATAACCTTGAAAGCTCCTCCATCTTGAACAATTTAGACACTTTTTCAACTATGAATCTTTATCTTGGGCAAAGCATCGAAAAGTTGATCAGAAAGTTTCCAAATATCCGCAGACTGAAATGCTGTCTTGTGGAATCAGCAGAATTTACTGCAGACAGCAATAGGGTCGTGGTAATGAACTTTCTGAGTCATCTGGAATCACTGAAGCTGAATCTAGGTAAAGTGACTATGCATTGTGTTGAACTCCGTCTCCCTTCCAGTCTAAAAAAGTTGACACTGGAGGAATTTTCCTGGGGTATAATTTCCACAATTAGAGAGCTACCCAATCTTCAGGTTCTGAGATTAAATCGACAAGCTGATGGGAAGAGAAACAGGGCAGTCAAGACATGGAAGACAGTGAAGAAATGGAAGACATGGAAGAAGGGGAATTCTTCCCTGAACTCAAGTTCTTGAAATTGAAATCCTTGAAGATAGTTAGGTGGAAAGGCCTAGGACATTCTTTTCCCCATCTTGAGAAATTAGTTTTGGATGATTGTAAGAAATTACAAAAGCTTCCTTCTCGTTTAGGGGAATCACCTCTTAAATTGATTGAGGTGCATCGATGTCCAAACTTGGATAGATATCAATTTGAAGATATTAAGAAAGAACAGATGGATTGCGGAAACATGGATCTGAAAATCCTTATGCCAGAAGAAATTGAGGAGTCCTCTTCATTGTCAGATGAAGATTCAGACGGATGGTTACCAGAAGAAATTGAGGATTCGTGGTTGGAGATTCAGACGGATGGTCAGGCTAACGATCATCTGCCGTAAGCGTTAGTATCTTTTGTATGGTTCTGTTTACATTGATGTCATATTTGTCGTTGTAATGCATAAATAATTTGCTATGTATTAATAACAAATTAATGTATTATTTGATTAAATTGATTGTTCAAATATTGAGGATGGATATACTTATAATTTTTTCCAGATGTTGACCCTGGAGGACCTTCCCTGGAGCATATTCTCCACAATCAGAAAGCTACCCAATCTTGAGGTTCTCAAATTAATCCGACCAGCTGATTGCAAAGGGGTAGGGAAATGGGAAATGGAAGAAGAGGAACTCAAATTCTTGAAATTGGAAGACTTGAACATGGTCGAGTGGAGAGGCTCAGGAGAAAGTAATTTTGGAAAGTTGCATGAAATTGCAGGAGCTCCCTTCTTGTTTAGGGGAATGTCTAACTCTTCAATTGATTGAGGTGCATCGATGTCCAGAGCTTGTAGGTTGTTAAGTTCAAGACATCAAGGAAGAACAGATCAACTGGGGAAATGAGGATCTAAACATCCTCATCTCCGAAGAAATTGAGGATTTTTCTTCATGTTCAGATTTGAGATTCAGAAATATGTTGACATTTGTAGCAAATGAATGTACCATTTGATAAATGGATTGCGAAAATGTTGATTACTTTATGCCAAATGATTATACTTGCATCCCAAGTATTTGTGCAGCTCATTTGATTGAATGTAAATGTAAAACAATCCGATTGTAGTCATCTGTGTTGTGTCATGTGAACAACTGGTAATGGTGTGTTTTGTGTGTGCTGGGAAATGCTGTTTAGAATGGTAGCTGAACTGGATACATCCTGGCCAAAGCTGTGAATCTCAGGCATGTCTATCTCAAGTTTACAAGACGTTTGCTCTCCAATTTTGTTGGAGCAGAATATATATGGTCCAATTTCTGCAGATTGCAGTTGGAATTATCATATCTTCTAGTTGATGTTAACAAAAAAAAGAAAAAAAGAAAGAGAGAGAAGAACTAAATCCAGTCTTGCTATGATCAATAGTATTTTTAATAAAATTATCATTATGGCCTTTCTTTCCCCTCGATAATAGAGAAAACGGAGTCCAACTGTGCTTGCCTACTTATTGGCTGTTGATGTCCATAGCTATGACCTAAATGAGCCAAGGCTGAGAAAAACTTTGGTGATTCTTCTGGAATGATTAGTGTTCAGGGATTGAAATTGATCAGTGCAAGTGATTCAATGCTCCTTCCTGCTGCTAGTTTGGATCCCCAAGTCTATGAGAAAGTAATGGCCTACTTATCTTTGCAATGGATCTTCTCTTTGTGTAACAATCTTGATTCTCTCAAAAGTCCTTTCTTTCAAGAAACATGTCAAGAGAGGGGGATACATTCATGGACCAATATATCATGTATTCTCTATCAAATGCAAATACTGAGATACACATCAGAATTGACTGGAAAAGACCTGATGAAATGAAATTGGTAGACACATGGGAATTTTGCCTTGATAGACAGTTGCTTTCCTGGAACATTCATTATGTTTGTTCCACCATTCATTCTCAGGGTATGTTTGGTTACCCAAGGAATTGGGTTTAGAATTGGAATTGGGTCCCCAATTCTAATTCTCGTGTTGGATCCTACCTTTCGTATAGAATTAGAATTGAATCGCAATTCCAAATCGATTCAATTCCATGGTTCCAATTCTTTGGCTGGACCAAAGAATTCCAATTCCAATTCCAATTCCACGGCCAGATTCTCGTTGGGTCAACACGCGGACTTTAAATGGGTCAAAACTCAAAAACGGGTCAACTATAAAGCTAGATTAAGGAAACAAAGCTAGCTTTTCCTCTGTCTGCATTAGCAAATCGCCATCTGCTCCAGCGTTCTCTGTCGCTGCCGCCGCCGCGCCTTCTCCTTGTCCCAGCATCTCTGTCGTAACCCCTACAAGCCTTTCCTCCCTCTGCCGCAACATCGAGTGGGTGAAATTTACAGATTGAGTTATATTTTGGTCCCCTTTCTTTCGTTTCCTATTAATCTTGAATTGTGCCTCCTGCTTTTACCTTTGCCGCCGCTTCCATTGCCGTCACCACCACCACCGTCGCGTCCTCTCGTCCTCACTCTCCTTCCGCTCCTTCAATTCTCAATTCTCGACAAATTTAGGGTTTATGATGTTATATTCATTTTTAAATTTTTGCCAATCAAAGATTGATTTTTTTTGGTTGTTCCTCTGATAATGTTTGCCATTAATGTTATAAATTTGCTACTGTTTTTTTGCTTCTAATTCAACATTTGGACGAGGATAGAAAAAAAGGTAGCACTCTGTTGCCCTGTTCTTCTAGATTTAACGTAACCAAGCAAAATCTTTTTTGTTTTTGATACAGTAGCAACTAGGTTTTTGTTTGAGATTTTTCCAATAGCTAATTTGGTCTTTTGAATTAATAGCTAGTTTGGCATGATTTGGTCTTTTGACTTATCTTTTCTTATTGTTGTTATGATTTTGAATTGCAGAATTTGGATATTGACATGGATAAAGAAGGAGACGAGCAAAAGGCAAAAAAGAAAAAAATGGGAATGTAAAGGAGACTTGTTAGAAAATGACATGGGAGACTTGCCTTTGAGCTCTTGCCAAAAGGTGGATCAATGTATGAAGAAACATTGGAGACTTACAAATTTCATGATTAGATCTCTTTGATGCTGGAGAAGTTGCTTTTGTATTGAATTTCTCAGTTTTAGCTGACGTTAACCACATTAATTCTTCATTCATTTGTCAATGAGCTGAATCCAGAATTATGCATTTTTGTTGTTCTGCATCAGGGGCCTCTCCGTACTTTATTAGTTGAGGCAATTTGTCCTTACAGCGAAATTCTGCGCACCAGTCCCTACTGCAAGAAGATCTCCTCACGCAATCTTCTGAAGAAGTGATGTTGGAAATGGTGGTCAACTGCTGTGGTTTTTAGAAAAAATGCTACAAACTTTGTGAATAAGTGTTAAATCTCTTTTTGGTGTGGCCATATGTATATTACCTGACCTCGTTTCCTTCATGTTCAAGTGTGGTGACAACTTCTACCTTAGCCTGAGAGAAACTTGTGACTCTTCCTTGTGTTGTAGTGTTACTTGTCAAATACTTTACATAGGAGATAATGCAGGCAACGAAGCTTCTGTTGTTACCTGTTCTGTATTTCTTTGGATAATGTTTTTTCCTTGCATATAGTAAAGGAGCCTTATTTTGACTTTAAAGTAGCACGTGAAATATATCTAAATCGTCTTTACCATGGACACAACAGAGTTTATGTAGAGCAACTTCGACTCAATAAACATTGTCTTACTGTTTTATGTACAAATTTAAGAGAGCATTGTGGGTTGAGGGATACTATAAATATTACAGTTGAAGAAGCAGTTGCAATGTTTCTCTATGTTCTTGCTCATAACTTTAATAATCGCACTGTCAATTTTAATTTCATAAGATCAGGTGAGACAGTTAGTTGATACTTTAATATAGAGTAGGTTTTTAATTTTCTAAAATTTAAAGTTCCTAACTTAGAAAAAAATATCAAGGTTTTAACTTGATAAATATGTACTTTTTAAGCTAGAATATGTAATTAGTTTTTATTTAATATAATTTAATTAAGAATTTTTTTTTTAGAAAAGGAACTAATTAGCTTTTTCTTTAAAACTTTAGTAACAATTAGTTAAATGCAAGAAAAAATAAATTATTAAAGGCACTAATTGGTTTTTTCCTTGAAGTTTTAGTAACAATTAGCTAAATGTTAAAAATTTACTACAGAGGAAAAAGAAAAAAGAAAAATTTTATGTAAACAAATGTTAGATGAAAACAATTCTAATTCTTAATGAATTCTTCTCCCGTCCAAACAAAGAATTTGGGATTCGAAATGAATTCTGTATCAATTCTATGCATTTCTCAAACAAAAGAATTACAATGTTTTGGAATTCCAATTCATAGTATTCTAATTCTATAGAATTTCAATTCCAATTCAATTCCAATTCTGTAAAATCAAACGCACCCTCAATGTAGTCCAGATTTCTGAGCAAGAAAAGCAATCAGGGAATAAATGCCTCATTTCCACACCTCTTTTTCCTGCAATAATGTGATGGAACTTGGAAATGCAGTAGAGGTGGCGTGTGAATGGAATTACTTAAAAGCATTTCAATTTTAAAATTTAATCAATGGTGAAACATTTGTTCGATGTTAAGCTTATTCCTTCAACATATAATTTCTGTCTTTTGATTAGCAAATGGTTACTCCTTTGTTCGATGTTACTTTCTTTGCAAAATTATGAATTTTTTAAGCTTTTCCGGGTGCTTGTTTAAAAATAAACAATTAGATAAATTGTGTTGTTTGATAGTAATATTTCAAACTTTGAAAAGTTCATTTACACTTTGATCATATAAGGTTGATTTAAATATGTTTATAAATTTTTTTTTTTTACTCAATTAATGAATAATGTATTAGTACTGGTGTTTTGAAAGCTACCATTTCATTGAGAGGTAGAAACAAACAATCACTCACTGAAAGGGTAGAGAGAGAAATCTGAGAATACTGGAATAGGGATGTATAAAAGAACAAGGCAGATGGAGTTGATGACTTGCATTGATTCCATCTTAGATAAACTGCGGCTGTTGGTTCCCCAGGGTGACCTCTGCAAGTATGATCGTGCTTTGAATGAGCTGAAGGTAGAGCTTGGGCTAGTGAAAACATTCCTTCTGTGTCAGTGGAAATTGAGATATCAATTTGTTGGCCTGGAAGATTCCGTTCGCGAAAATGGGCAGCAGTTTTACTCTCTTCTTCTTGGATTCGAGGATGATGGATTGTCCCCCAACGACTTGGCTGGATCAGCTTCAACTTTTGGAGGTATTCTAAAGAGTTTTAAGCAAGGAATCAGGAAATCGTATGTCGATATTTCCAATTCCTTAGCGAAATCCGTCTCTGAGTCTAGTATCCGATTGAATACAAGAGATTTTGAGAAAGGGGGCCCTGTTTTTTGGGACGGTGAATCATACGGGAAAAGGTATCCCAGTATGTTGGATCGCTTATTGGCATCCAGTTCTTCTTTGACAGATGAGTTCATGGAATTCTTCCACTCCTTGCTACAGAATTTGTTGGATATTCTCAACTGGGGTGAAGCCTACGATTCGGAACTCGAAAAACTGTTGGAGCCCTTGCAAGAGAAGCTAGTATTCCTCAAAAATTTCATTCTCTTTGCTAGGTTGCAAGGCAAGCCCGAGCGGAAACTTATGGAGCACTGTGGAGTTGTGGCTCTGTCTGCAGCATGGTTCGAAGTCTCGGCCGAGACCGAGATGACTCGGCCCCTATCGATACGATACCGTGACGAAACGATACCGAAATACTTGACTCGCCGAGAAATCGGCTGAGACGTCATCGAGATGGATTGACTCGGCCGAGTCACACCGAGTCACTCCGAGTTATCCCGAGTCAAGACGAGAAATCGGTCGAGTTACACCGTGACGGATTGACTCGGCCATTTCTTTTGCTATTTTTTATTATTTTTGTTTAGCATACTTTTTTTATATTATTAATAATTTTTACAATATTAAATACTTTAAAATTTGCGTCTCACCGAGACCGCGACCGATATGCCGAAACCGATATGGAACGTTCCGGGCCGCGACCGTAACCGCGACCACGACTTTGAACCATGGTTTGCAGCCCATCTTTGTCACAGCTGCTGGTTTTTCAGAGATGACAATGAAGTTTTTGTTGGAATCAGCTCCAAGATTGATGAAGTAAAACGTCAGATCAAGCCTATTGTTGAACAAGTCCGTTTGGCTTATATCAGCATCTTGGAATCTGGGTCTTCATCACTTGCGATGTCCACCGAGGCGGATATGACTATAGTGGGGGGTTTTGTAGGTTCTCTCTTAGGTAATCTTTGGGAGTTTCTCGTGAAGTGTCCTGCCTGGTTTAATTCATCTCTAAAGCATCAAATTCGGATACTCTACGAGGGACTGCAGTTCTTGAGAGGCATTTTGATGAAGCAGCAAGAGGATTTTGATGGGCTTCCAGGAGGAATCAAAGATCGCTTTGGGGCTGTGGTCAATGATGCTGCGATTGTAATTTTCTCACTATATCAGGACAATATCCGAGAAGCTTCAGCCGTGGAAATTGATCTTAAGCTCTTTTGTTTACTGGAGAAGATCAAGCTTGTTAAGGCAGAAATTGAGAAAAAGTATCCTGTAGCATCAAGGTCCAAATTTCCAACAACCAATGCACTAGAGTTGATCGATCTTGTTCTAGAAAAGTTGAAGGAACTGGAAAGCTGTGAAGTCGATCCATTATTTTCTTTTGCAAATGATCGAGTTGACTTCTTAAATTCATACTTGGACAAGATCCAATACATTAAAGTTGACCGACCTTTGGAAACATTTACATATTATGACATGCCATCCTGGATCATTGATCTGGAGCGGCAGATCCGGCTTGAAAAGCTCCAACATCAAAAGATGCAAGCTGATGTCCCACTCTTAACGTCATTCTTGGAGAATAATTTGGAGCAGCACATCAAGAATGAAAAGCACCAACTTCAGACGATGAAAGATGATCTTGTACCTTTAAGATCATTATTGGAAGAAAATGGGGAGCAACACAATCATCAGGAAGATCCCCATGCCCTTTGGAGTCGTGTTATAGAGGTTGCATACAAGGCAGAGTTTGTTATCGAATCCTTGTTAGTTGGAGATATCTCATTCTATTCTCTGATGTTATTTGATGATATTGCACGAGAAATTAAGCTCGTCAAAAGTGGAAGCTACCAAGATTCCGAGGCATGTGACATCACAAGGTAACATCTCAACGACGATTGAATGGATCATAATTGAGAGTGTTTGGATTTTGGACATTACATTGATTCCAAATAATATTTTATTTGCATCATGAACATATCTCTCTACACACCTTTTTATGATTTTAAGTCTCAACCATCTTTTAGGGTTAATTGTTGTTTGCCCCCTTGAACTTGATCCTTTATAATATTTTGCCTCTGAACTTTAAATATATACATTAGGTCAAACGATAATGATGAATTTTCCATCTAAAATTTTAACAAAATGATATTAATGCCCTTACATAATAGCTCTAGAATAATGCTATACTTTTAATCAGAATATGAAACATTTTATTAGAAAAAACTCAAAGTCATATGATTTAAAAAATAAAATGGTATAATGCCATAGAATTAAAAAATTTTATTGTAGAGAAAAAAGAATTTAAAAATTCCTAAAGCTTCTGTGCAAGTTTCCATTGCTTCTCTTTCTTTCTTTAAATTATAAATGGATTAGTTTTGATAATTTTAATTTACTTTGTAAATTTCACAAGATTTTTTTGGGTGAATAAGATGCTATTTGGTAATTTTATACCACATTCATACCTTGCTTTGTATTTTGTTTGTATTCTACATTTAAAAAAACTAAAAATTAAATAAATATTTCTTTCAATATATTTTTATTTTTTAATCATGTTTTTATCTCATATAAAATCCATTAAAAATGCCATAATAAAAAATATAAGCAAATAATTTTCATTCCAGATGCACTAATTAATTTCATATTATTTAATATAAGTAGTGCTATCGGGATTGAGATAAACACATTGAGATGTTTAGACTTCTTTTTTGTGAATTATTTAATTCATTTTAGTGTTAAAAGATCGAAAAGCATAGTATAATTGTGTTTAAATGCATTTAACAATTATCAAAGAAATAGGTATTTATTATGTTACAATTACTATGTGTGTTTAAGAATTAGCCAGGAATACTTTGATTATAAAAATAAATAAATTCATTTTAACCCAGTCAAAAAGTTGACCACAAGGAATGGAGTGTGTATATTTGAAATTTAGGGAGCAAAGTGTTACAAGGGCCCAAGTTCAGCAGTTGGGATCCTTTATGCCACTACTCGGTGTCAACTCCAGTGACAATCCCACTTATCACGTGATAGTAGAAGAAATTTCATTAAACAACACATGACAAATTAAATAAACAAGATACTTGACATAAATATAGAACTGGCACTGAATTGTCATCGGAAAAGTGGCACTGAGGATTCTGTGTGCAAGTTCAGAGGGACAAAGTGCATTAACCCATTTTTAATCTCACTATTTATTTCAAATAATAAGGTTGCGTTTGGATTGCATTTTCCATGGATTTTTCGTTGGAAAATTACTGTAGCGATTTGATGTATGTGAGGTAAAAAGGTGATAGGGAAATGTGTTTACGGAAAACAAGGCCATTTTTCGGTGGAAAATGGCAATCCAAACAAGCCGTTAAATATTTTAAATAAAACTCTGTCGATCTATCCAATATGTTAGCAATCCATTTTGTATTTGCGATATTTCATTCTCTTTTAATTTTTTGGAAACAGTAAGAAGCCAGACGAGTGGAGGGTCCGACCAGGTGTCATCATCGGTTAGTGTCTCAACAGTAGATAAAGCTGAGGTGGCCTTGCAGGATGAGGAGGACGCAATAATTGACAAACTTATAAAAGGTCCAAAGCAGCTGGACATCATCTCCATTGTGGGTATGGCTGGACTAGGCAAGACGTTTTTGGCACGAAGAGTTTACCGTGATCCTAAAGTTACATCTTACTTCCACATTCGGGCATGGTGTTGTATCTCCCAAACATATTGCAAGAAAGATTTGTTGCTTCAGATTTTGGCTTGCATTAACCAGAAAACTCAATTTTCTGAGATGAACCAAGCTGATTTGGCTGACAAACTCCGTAAATGTTTGAGTCAAAACAAATATCTCATAGTTCTGGATGATGTTTGGGACACTGAGGCATTGAATGCTTTGAGATTATCGTTCCCTGATCACACAATTGGGAGCAGAATTCTCTTAACAAGTCGAGATCATGGGATTTGTGGTACACCTCACCGACTTCGGCCACTTGAAGAACCAGAAAGCTGGGATTTACTACAGAAGAAGCTGGCAATTATTAGAAAAAAGGGCTACGCTCCAGAACTGGAAGTTCCTGGGAGGCAAATAGCAGAAAATTGTAAAGGGCTGCCTCTATCAATTGTCATCATATCTGGAATTCTTGCTGGTCTTGATCGAGTTGGTTGGGAAGAAGTTGCAGAAAGGCTGAATTCAAACAAGAAGATTGGTGCCACAGACCAGTGCAAGAGTATATTAGAGCTCAGTTATGTACATCTACCTGAACATTTGAAGCCATGCCTTATTTACTTTGGAGCATTCAGCGAAGATCAAGAAATTTCAATCCAGAGGTTGATGTGGTTGTGGATCGCCGAAGGATTTGTGCAGAAAAATGAGTCAGAGAGCCCAGAAAAAATAGCAGAAGGCTATATAATGGCTCTAGTTAACAGAAGCTTGGTTATGGCGGGGAGACAAAGATCCACAAGTGGGGTCAAGACGTGCTTCATCCATGATTTGTTGCACGTATTTTGTTTGGAAAAAGCCAAAGATCAAAATTTTCTGCAGTTGATACGAGGTTACTGATAGGTTGCAATTTGTTCATTTATTTTATTATTAATTCCTCCTATTACCTGACTTGATGTGGATTAATTTGCTGAATTCTACTCACTTTTAGTATTTGACGTTTATTTCAGGGAGTAGAATATAAATATGATAACAAGTGCCAAGTTTGACGAAAAAAAAGATGTCCAAGCCACAGAGCTTATTCCAGGGATATTTTTGGCAAAGAGGATAGGAGGCCCATTTTGGGTAATTCCCGCAGGAGAGGACGACTGGAGGGTTGGCTTCTGGGCAGGTCCCGCCGCAATTAAAGAGAGGAGGAAGGCAGAGAAAAAGGGGGCTCTTCCGGACGCATGAAAAGAAGCTGAGGAGCTTAGCCATTTTTGTTGACTTTTCCCTTGATTTTACTTGGAGCTTTAGAAACTCACGGAGGAGAGAAGCAAGCTTTTTGTTAGCTTCTGAACTTTGACTTTTCTTCTTTAGCGGCTTTAGCAGTTTTTCTTTTTTGTGCTTGGAACGCAGTAGAAGCCATGAATGGCCTTTTGTAACTTTCCTATCTATTCGATATTCGGACGAGCTGGATTGCCCAATTTTCTAATCAATGGCCGCACCTCCTACTTCGACTTCCTGTGGGTTTAGTTCATCAATTATGAACTAATCTTCCAAATCTAGTCAAGGAGCAACGAAGGCTCTGGTTCACCTAAAAATTGTGAGATCGATTTAATTTAATCTTTCCCTTTTGTTTTTTTGGTATTCGTGTATTCCCTAATTACTATGCTTATGGTTATTTAATTAATTGATTGTCTTGAATCCGGATAATTAATTGATTTGGTAATCTATTGTCAGTTGGGGTATTAAATCCGTAATTGTTTAATTACCTCAAAATAGTGACAACTGGCTCGATTAGATTCGTGTCAGGGGGATACGCGGGCTAACCTAAAATAACCCTGGTAGTGTGTTATTTGGTTAGAATAGGGCTCCTCTAATACGTAAGGTTGGGGAATTAAATTCTACGGGCGTACCTAGGATTATTTCTCAATTAGAGCAGTGATTAACGGGCGTACCTTGATCACCGACGCAGTAAGGAGGGGTTGGCTGCTATCGTTTGTTTGGCAGTTATAACCTATTTATTGGTAAATAATTGGGATTGCTTTGCATCGATGACCAATTAGGTGAACCATTGCTGAAGTTATTCCTTGGCTAGATCTTTAATTAATATTGCTTTAATTTTAGTGAATTGTCATTTGATTTTTAACTGCCTACTTGATTTTATTTTTGATTGTTTCCTTGTTTTAATTAATTTAGGCCTCTAATTATTGTTATCCTGAGTTCAGTGAATTGTGGTTTAGTTTCTAGTTAGTTGTTTATTTTTACTTTCTCATTTGAATTTATTTAATTATCGTCGTTTCTACAAAATCACCCCCCTGTGTTACTTTGGATTTCTTGAGAAACAAATATACCCAGTCTCTGTGGATACGACCCTACTTGCCCTGTCTACAAATTCATAATCATTTGTGAAAAGGAATAACCAACCCATTCGGGTATATCGGATCAAGCAAATTCTTCGGGAATAGGGTGAATCAAGTAACCCATTGCACACCTAGAGTCCCTGCTCCAGTACTTGGAATTGGGTTTTGGTCTTTTTAACTGGCAATTAGGTTTAATTTTATTATTGCACAGGCTGACGACCTGTCAATTTTTGGCGCCGTTGCCGGGACTGGCGTTTTTATTTGTTTCTTTTTAAATTCAATTTTGTCCTAATTTTCTGATTTTCTTCTAGTGTATGCCTCGATCTTGTCGCACAGGTGATTTGGTTTTTGATCCTGAGGTAGAGAAGACCGCGCGTAGAACGAGAAAGGAAACCAGACAGCTCAGAGAAGAGCACTCTAGTGCTACATCTCAAAGACCCGAGTCAGAAGTTGAACCAACAGATTCGTTTGGTAACACTTCGAGTGACTCTGACCAGGAGGAGTTCACCATGGCTAATGCACAAACATTAAGGGAGTTGGCTGCTCCTGATTTAACTCAGCAGCCTTTGTGCATTACTTTCCCCGCTTTAAATGACAACATTCCATTTGAACTAAAATCTGGTCTGATTCAGCTTTTACCCTCTTTTCATGGTTTGCCAGGTGAAGAGCCGTATAAGCATCTGCAGGAATTTGATGTCGTTTGCAACAGTATGAAACCCCCGGGAATCACAGAAGAGCAGATAAAAATGAGGGCATTCCCCTTCTCCTTGAAAGATTCTGCGAAGGACTGGCTGTACTACCTGTCACCAGGTAGCATCACCACGTGGGACCAATTGAAGAAAAAATTTCTGGATAAATATTTTCCTGCGTCCAGGGCTGCGAGTCTAAGGAAAGAAATTTGTGGGATCAAGCAGCATCCTGGGAAGTCACTTTACGAGTATTGGGAACGGTACAAGAGCTTGTTGCGCAGGTGCCCCATCACCAAATAAGTGAGCAGTTGATCATACAATATTTCTATGAGGGTTCATTTTTAGAGACAGGAGCATCATCGATGCTGCAAGTGGAGGGGCACTGGTGAACAAAACCCCTCAGGAAGCACGGGAGTTAATAGAGGGGATGGCAGAGAATTCACAGCAATTCAGTACAAGGGAGGATGTCCCAATACGTAGGGTGAATGAGATAGAGACACCCTCTGTGCAGCAGCAGCTAAATGAGTTGACTGCATTCATTAGGCAACAGGCTGTGAGAAATGCATCACAAGCCAGGGTATGCGGGATTTGCACTGGTATAGGTCACTCTGCAGACATGTGCCCAATGATTCAGGAAGAAACTGCAGAACAGGTGAACATGGCTGACCACGCGCCGCGCCAAGGAAGCAGTACGACCCTTACTCGAGCACCTACAAACCCGGGTGGAGAGATCATCCCAACCTCAGTTATGGAGGGAATAGGCAACCCAACTTTGCACAGAACAGGCAGTCTAACTTTGTGCCAAATAACGTGAGCGCAATGATCCTAAGGAGTGGGAAAGAAATTCAGGGGCCTGAACCTGTGATTCCCAAGGACAAGGATGAAGAGAAGATCGAAAATGAGCTTGAAAGGGAGGACAGCAATGGTGCCGATCCAAAGGTACTCCCTGACCCAATAATTACAGTTAAAACTAACCCACCTCCTTTCCCTAGCAGGTTGGAAAAATCGAAGAAACAGGATAAGGAGAAGGAGATCTTGGAGGTTTTTCGCAAGGTTGAGATAAATATCCCCCTTTTGGACGCCATCAAACAAGTACCAAAATATGCCAAGTTCCTAAGGGACTTGTGTGTAAACCGAAGGCGATTGAGGGGAGATGAACGGGTCATAGTTGGGGAAAATGTGTCTGCGGTCCTGCAGAGAAAGCTCCCACCAAAGTGCGGGGACCCAGGTATGTTTACTATTCCCTGTAAGATAGGTAATACTGTGATCAGAAGGGCCATGTTGGATCTGGGAGCATCAATAAATGTCATGCCTAAGTCTATCTATGCTTCTCTAAAATTAGGTCCATTAAAAGAAACTGGAATAATCATTCAATTAGCTGACCGAACTAATGCATATCCTGATGGGTTGGTTGAAGATGTGTTGGTAAGAGTTAATGATTTGGTGTTTCCAGCTGATTTTTATGTACTTGATATGGATGATGATCACTCCCCTGATCCTCACCTCTGTTATTGGGTAGACCTTTTATGAGCACAGCACAGACGAAAATTGATGTTAATAAGGGTATTCTGTCCATGGAGTTTGATGGGGAAATTGTGCATTTTAATATTTTTGATACTATGAAGTACCCCTCGAACTCCAACTTTAGCTCAGTTTTTTCTGTGAGTGCTATTGACCCTGTAGTGCAGGAAGTGTTTGAAACTGATGGCAGGGATGAGCTGGAGGTGGCTTTAACCAAGCACCTCGAGTTGGAGACAATCCTCAGGTGGAGTGGAGTGAGGATTTAAAATGCACAATAGGTGCATTACATCGTTGCAGACCACCACGAAAAGGTATGAAGTCTTACCTATTTTTACTCCCGAGCCTCACCAGAGGGTATTGCCATCTGTGGTGCAGGCACCTGTACTGGAGTTGAAACCTCTACCAGAGCACCTGAAATATGCATATCTAGGTGATAATGAGACACTCCCGGTGATTATCTCATCGGCACTGTCAAAAATCAGGAGGAGAGATGATCCTTAGAGAGCATAAAGAGGCATAGGTTGGACAATTGCAGACATTAAGGGAATCAGCCCGGCCGTCTGTATGCATCGGATTAGACTAGAAGACGATGCCAAACCTGTTAGGCAGGCTCAAAGAAGGCTCAATCCCCTCATGATGGAAGTTGTAAAGAAAGAGATTCTAAAATTGCTAGATGTGGGGATTATCTTTGCAATATCTGATAGCCCTTGGGTGAGTCCGATCCAGGTAGTCCCAAAGAAGGCAGGAGTAACGGTAGAAGCCAACCAAACGGGTGAGCTCGTGCCAGTGCGCAAACCCACGGGATGGAGGCAGTGTATAGACTACCGTAGGCTAAACGCCGTCACCAAAAAGGACCATTTCCCTCTCCCTTTCATTGATCAAATGGTTGAACGTTTAGCTGGTAGGGCTTATTATTGTTTTTTGGATGGATTTTCAGGATACTTTCAGATAGCAATTGCCCCGGAGGATCAAGAGAAGACAACCTTCACGTGCCCGTTCGGGACCTTTGCCTACAGACGAATGCCATTTGGGTTGTGCAATGCACCTGCGACTTTCCAAAGATGTATGGTAAGCATCTTTTCTGAGTATGTTGAGAAAATAATAGAAGTTTTCATGGATGATTTCAGTGTGTATGGTGATAGTTTTGATGATCGTGTCTAGATAACTGAAATTAATCCTGATAAGGTGTATAGAGACTAATCTTGTGCTTAATTGGGAAAAATGTCATTTTATGGTTGAGCACGGGATAGTCCTGGGTCATATTGTATCGTCTAAGGGCATAGAAGTTGACAAGGCTAAAATAGACATTATTTCTGCATTACCTTACCCCGCGAGTGTGCGGGAGGTGCGCTCTTTTCTTGGACATGCAGGTTTTTATCGAAGGTTCATCAAGGATTTTTCAAAAATTGGAGCCCCGTTGTTCCAACTCCTACAAAAAGATGTAGCCTTCGAGTTTGATGATAAGTGTGAGAGAGCCTTTAACAAGCTGAAGGAATTGCTGACTTCACCCCCAATCATCCAACCCCCGATTGGAATTTGCCATTTGAGATCATGTGCGATGCCAGTGATCATGCTGTTGGGGCTGTACTGGGGCAAAGAGTAGGAAAGGCGGCTCATGTCATCTATTACGCATCCCGGGCCTTGAATGGAGCCCAGTTGAATTATTCCACCACTGAGAAGGAGCTTCTTGCAGTTATTTTTGCTTTGGAAAAATTTAGGTCATACTTGTTAGGTGCTAAAGTGATTGTATTTTCTGATCATGCAGCATTAAGGTACCTGATGACCAAGAAAGATGCAAAACCGAGGCTCATACGGTGGATACTGCTCCTACAGGAATTTGACTTGGAGATAAGGGACAAAAAAGGCTCAGAAAATCTAGTAGCGGACCATTTGAGTCGCATACTAGTTGAAGAGGATAGCGAGCCATTGAAGGATGCATTCCCTGAAGAACACCTATTTTCCTTAAATTCTCAGTTGCCTTGGTATGCGATTTGGTCAATTATTTGGTAACTGGTAATTTTCCTGCAGGTTGGCCGAAATCGAAGAGGGATAAATTGAAGAGCGATGCCAAGTATTTTATCTGGGATGACCCGTACCTATGGAAGAGGTGTGCAGATCAAGTGATGCGGAGATGTGTAAGTGAAGTGGAATTTCAATCAATTTTAGCTTTTTGTCATACTTTTGCCTGTGGAGGTCATTTTGGACCTAAGAGAACTGCTCATAAGGTTTTGAAAGTGGATTTTATTGGCTTCATTGTTTAAGGATGCCTATGTGTTTTGTAAGTCATGTGATCGCTGTCAAAGGGTAGGTAATATAGCCCGTAGGATCAAATGCCCCAAGTCCCGTTGATTTTTGTTGAAATTTTTGATGTTGGGGTATAGATTTCATGGGGCCTTTTCCTACTTCATTTGGTTTTTTATATATTTTGCTGGCAGTTGATTATGTGTCTAAATGGGTGGAGGCTAAGGCCACTCGAACTAATGACTCGAAAGTAGTTGCAGATTTTATCAGGTCTAATATTTTTGTGCGATTTGGAATGCCTAGAGCTATTGTCAGTGATAGGGGAACACTTTTGCAACAAAACCATAGCTGCGTTGTTTCGCAAGTATGGTGTACTCCACAGGGTCTCAACGTCATACCACCCTCAGACCAATGGTCAAGCGGAGGTGTCGAATCGGGAGATCAAGTCCATTTTAGAGAAAATGGTGCGCCCTGATAGGAAAGATTGGAGCCAAAGGTTGGAGGACGCACTCTGGGCCTATAGGACGGCATACAAGACTCCTATAGGGATGTCACCGTACAGGTTGGTATTTGGGAAGCCGTGTCACCTTCCAGTGGAGTTCGAGCACAAGGCTTTTTGGGCGATAAAGCAATGTAATATGAATCTAGAAGAGGCCGGTGTTCAACGGAAGCTGGATTTGCAAGAATTAGAGGAATCCGGAACGAAGCATACGAAAACGCCTTGATTTATAAGAAGAAAAGCCGGGAATTTCATGACCAACAAATTTCAAGAAAAACATTTGAAGTTGGTCAGAAGGTCCTCCTATACCAATCAAGGCTTAAGCTATTCCCAGGTAAGCTACGTTCCCGTTGGATTGGACCTTTCATTGTTACTCACGTTTTTCCATATGGTGCAGTTGAGATCCGAAGTACTAAGACAGACAACAAATTTGTGGTGAATGGACACCGTCTCAAATATTATTACGAAGGATTTTCAGGAAGAGAGGTGGAGACAATAAGGCTTGACGCACCACCGTGTCCTAATCAGTGACAGTTTACCATGTCTAGCCAAAGACATTAAAGAAAGGCGCTCATTGGGAGACAACCCAATTGTTCCTTTTAGTTGGTTGTTCAATTTCGTGTAGTAGTTTAGAAGTGCTTTCCTGGAATTCAACTGATTTTGGGGTTCAGTTTTCGTTTTTGCTGATTTATAGGTGCCCTTCACTCTGATGTGCCCGCGTGGTGATGGGCAGGACGCTCACGATCAGAATCGTCCGAAAGTCAGCTTGCTCTCGTGACGTGCCCGCGTCACGTTCGCGGGAAAGGTAAGGATTCAAACAAAAAAAAATGAAAAAAATATAGAAAAAGTATCATTATTTCATTTATTCAATTTTCTAAAAAAAAAAAATAAAAAAAAAAAATAATAATAACATAAAAATATAATAATAATAATAAACTAAAAAAAATATTCCTCTTTCTTTTCCTTCTTTTCTTTTCTTTCTTTCCTTTCTTTTTCTTTCTTTCTTCTTCTTTCTTTCTCTTTTCTTTCTTTCTCTTTTCTTTCTTTCTTCTCCTCTGCTTCTCCCTGCGCACGCCGCTTCCCTGCTCCATCTCTGTCGCCCGAATCACATCGCCGCCGCCCAGCTCCCTCGCGCATCGCCGCCACCCCGCGCGATCGCGCACACCTCCAGATCCCCAGCCGCCAAGCAGCGCAGCCACCACCAGAGCTCCATCGCCGCCGCTAACTCCAGAGTCGCGGCCTCCTGCTCACAGCCACGCGCCACCAACCCCCTCTCACACTAGCACCCCCCACACCTGATTCACACTAGCACCCCCCACCAAGTCAAATGGCCACAACAATCAAAAATTGACAGGTCGTCAGCCTGTGCAATAATAAAATTAAACCTAATTGCCAGTTAAAAAGACCAAAACCCAATTCCAAGTACTGGAGCAGGGACTCTAGGTGTGCAATGGGTTACTTGATTCACCCTATTCCCGAAGAGTTTGCTTGATCCGATATACCCGAATGGGTTGGTTATTCCTTTTCACAAATGATTATGAATTTGTAGACAGGGCAAGTAGGGTCGTATCCACAGAGACTGGGTATATTTGTTTCTCAAGAAATCCAAAGTAACACAGGGGGTGATTTTGTAGAAACGACGATAATTAAATAAATTCAAATGAGAAAGTAAAAATAAACAACTAACTAGAAACTAAACCACAATTCACTGAACTCAGGATAACAATAATTAGAGGCCTAAATTAATTAAAACAAGGAAACAATCAAAAATAAAATCAAGTAGGCAATTAAAAATCAAATGACAATTCACTAAAATTAAAGCAATATTAATTAAAGATCTAGCCAAGGAATAACTTCAGCAATGGTTCACCTAATTGGTCATCGATGCAAAGCAATCCCAATTATTTACCAATAAATAGGTTATAACTGCCAAACAAACGATAGCAGCCAACCCCTCCTTACTGCGTCGGTGATCAAGGTACGCCCGTTAATCACTGCTCTAATTGAGAAATAATCCTAGGTACGCCCGTAGAATTTAATTCCCCAACTGCCTTACGTATTAGAGGAGCCCTATTCTAACCAAATAACACACTACCAGGGTTATTTTAGGTTAGCCCGCGTATCCCCCTGACACGAATCTAATCGAGCCAGTTGTCACTATTTTGAGGTAATTAAACAATTACGGATTTAATACCCCAACTGACAATAGATTACCAAATCAATTAATTATCCGGATTCAAGACAATCAATTAATTAAATAACCATAAGCATAGTAATTAGGGAATACACGAATACCAAAAAAACAAAAGGGAAAGATTAAATTAAATCGATCTCACAATTTTTAGGTGAACCAGAGCCTTCGTTGCTCCTTGACTAGATTTGGAAGATTAGTTCATAATTGATGAACTAAACCCACAGGAAGTCGAAGTAGGAGGTGCGGCCATTGATTAGAAAATTGGGCAATCCAGCTCGTCCGAATATCGAATAGATAGGAAAGTTACAAAAGGCCATTCATGGCTTCTACTGCGTTCCAAGCACAAAAGAAAAGAAAAACTGCTAAAGCCGCTAAAGAAGAAAAGTCAAAGTTCAGAAGCTAACAAAAAGCTTGCTTCTCTCCTCCGTGAGTTTCTAAAGCTCCAAGTAAAATCAAGGGAAAAGTCAACAAAAATGGCTAAGCTCCTCAGCTTCTTTTCATGCGTCCGGAAGAGCCCCCCTTTTTCTCTGCCTTCCTCCTCTCTTTAATTGCGGCGGGACCTGCCCA